GTGATGAGTAGATCTTCGGTCAGCTCATTGCCCAAGGACCTACTATGCAAGGACCTACTATACAAGGACCTACTACACAAGGTCTTCTGGTATTTAGGGTAATGCTTCTCCTGGCATATAGGAGAAATCCACACATGATACTTCTGGGGCTTAACAACAATTGACTAGTTTATGTTTTGTTTTTGTGAATATGGCTAATACAAAGAAAGAGAAGCTGTTACGTTTCTTCCTTTCTTCTCATTTTTGTTTTATTTTGCTTTGTTTAGACTTTTTTGTTTTCATGTACTTTGACTCCTTGAGATTTCTATGCTGACTCGCTTCTGCCTAATTACAGGCTTCAGGTAGCCGTTTTAAACTATTTTTCACCATGTCAAACTTATTTGAAAAATAATTCCAAGAAAAGGATTTTAGGGCTAACATTTGAATGAAGCGTCTTCAGTAATGAAAGCTATCCTATACAGAATAGGAAAAATCAATATTAATTTTTAATGTAATCATATCACAGTCTGTTAACTAGAACTAAGATTAAAAAAATTTTTAATTTCCTCATTTTAAATATAAAATACTTAACACTTGTGTTCTGAAAAGAATGAAACCACATACAATTATTAATCACTAATTAGATAAAATAATTTTATTTGTGGTTATAAGAACATTTCTGGGGTCTATTTGCATTGTAATTGGCACGGATAACCGCTCAATCCTGGGATTCGGATAAATCACTTATAGCGACTTTAGGGTGCTTTTCTTCACAGAGCTGGTTCTGGCCCATTCTTTGTCATTGTCACCAATTATGTGTTAAACAAGAGGCAAAAAATGGAGAGAGAGCATGGGGAGAAATGCCAGATATAGGTGATGGGGAGGAAGACAGCAAATCACACTACCATGTGTGTACCTATGCAACAATCTTGCATGTTCTTCACATGTACCCCCAAACCTAAAATGCAATTAAAAAAATTAAAAAAAAATGGAGGCGCAAAAATGATTAAAATCAGCCTGTTCTCAGGTAGCCCATCAAAAAAGATGAATTGTCAATCAGTTGTTACAATCCAGTTGTCTCTTGGTATCTGTGGGGGCTTAGTTCCAAGCCATGGAGACCAAAGTCTCTGCATACTCAAGTCTCACAGGGGCTCGCTGCAGAAGCCACCTACACAAAAAGTCAGTTTTCTGTATCCTTGAGTTTCTTGTCCTGCATCCTGCAGATGCTGTCTTCATTCCCATTTGGTTGTGGATTTGGAATCCATGGATACAGAGGGCTGACTGTATTTGCTGGAAAAATATCTGTGCTTACGTGGGCTTGTGCAGTTTGAATCCCTACTGTTCAAGGAATAGCTGTGTAAGGTGATAAACAAAATGATATTCCACCAAATATGATAGAATTGAGCCCAGAAGCACTAAGCAAAGCACCTACCTGGCCCTGAGACTATCAGAGAAGACTTCCTGGAGGAGTTGGTGTTTGAACAGACACATGAAGGATGGACTCATATTTACCTGTAGAGATGGGATGGGGTGGAGAGGAGAAACTAGCACTGCTTTCTGCTTTCATTTGATTTTCACTGGGGAGCTTTATGAGTATATTGCACAGATGGTTCACAGAAGGCACTGAGCTGAGTTCTATGCTCAGTGCTTGGCTATTGGTTTCTGCAGAATGTTAGAAATAATGAGCCATGCCTTAGCACTACACTGTCTATAACACATGTTCCCATACTGAATCCTTGGAAATGGAACTCCAGGTTCACTTCGATTTGTATTTTGTCAATTGCTCTTCCAGTGAAAACCCCCCCCGACCTGATACATGTAGTCATTTTCTCATTTTCATTTTCCTTTTCTCCAAGTCTTCTTCTTTCTTCTTTCTCTGTCTTTCTTTTTTACCCCTCATTCTTCTTTTCTTAATTTAAAAATGAAATTTATATGTGGTTAAGTGTTGTCTAGAGAAAATGGATTGAGGGAGCATTTGCACTGTGTTTGAGTCACACCACAAACCGGATGACACTTCACAGGTATTTCTGATGCTCATTTAATAGGTCTTAATACTTTTGAGTTTTGAGGTTCAAAAAACCTTACAGGCAGTGATGTAGCAACTGTGTGCATGGTCTCTTGTTCAAATAGCCCAGCTGCCTATAATCTAATTTAAAGCAGAGTCAGCAGGCGTAATGGGAAAAGCTCATGTTTGGTGTTTCAAAAAAGAGATTGATCACGTAGAAGTTGAGTTTTACTAAAATAGCTCACAATGGGGAACGTGTCAGGACTGGGCCAGAATGTATATTTTTTTAATATTTATTTTGTAGATCTTGCTAATTAGTAAACTATTCCTGGTATTTATTTGGACAATTTGGGATGTTGCATTCCCTCTGCTAGATAACTAGGGTTTTACTGAAATTACAGATCTTAGATCTGTTGGTTATTAAAGATTTAAGTGACATAAGATGGCCACTTTACAAGCTACTTCACATATTCCTGAATGGAATTTTTTTAATGTCTGTGACAATATGTGATTATTTATAAGATATGTGGGATTAGTATCTTAACTAGAGATTTTAATGTCATGCTACTTAAAAGTAGATTTATTGATTATCTGACAGTCCATGTCTAGCATGGAGCTGATTGGGCACACATTAGATAAATATTGGCTTCTCCCGTGAAAACTCAGAGATCAGAATCTACAAATTTCCTGTGGACCATATTGATTTGGAACAAAGTCAACTCTTCTGAATTAGTTGCTATGATTCTGAGGTTTTTGAAGAGGATTCTAGTTTGCTCTTTGGCTTCCTCTCTCTATCAACCTTCCTGACACTTCTTGGAGATTTTCTTGGTTTCTGTTTTTTTGAGATGGAATCTCACTCAGTTGTTCAGGCTGGAGTACAATCACGTGATCTTGGCTCACTGCAGCTTCTTCTTCCTGGGTTCAAATGATTATCCTACCTCAGCCTCCCGAGTAGCTGGGATTACAGGCATAAGCCACCATACCCTGCTAATTTTTGTATTTTTAGTAGAGACGGTGTTTCACCATGTTGACCAGGCTGGCCTTAAACTCTTGGCCTCAGAGATCCACCTGTCTCTGCCTCCCAAGGTGCTGAGATTACAGGTGTGAGCTACTGCACCTGGCCTTCCTTGGAGTTTTGAATGCTTGACGTTGACAGGCATGCCCCATAGGATGATATAATGCAACTGAACCATAAAATGCCTTCTGGATCTTATCTGCTGTTGGAGATATAGAGTGATCCATAGAGTACCGGAGTCTAGATTTTTGGATTTTATTGGACAATAAAATTAAAAATGGAAGAACAAGATAGAATTACTGAATCTTTATTTTGCTACTTAGGACATTAAAAAAACTCCAAAGAGACAAAGGCTTATATGTGCTGTCAACATTTTATTTTTTTGAGATGGAGTCTTACTCTGTCATGTAGGCTAGAGTGCAGTGGTATGATCTTGGCTCACTGAAACCTCCACCTCCTGGGTACAAGCGATTCTCTTGCCTCAACCTCCCGAGTAGCTGGGATTACAGGCATCTGCCACTGTGCCTAGCTAATTTTTGTATTTTTAGTGGAGACAGGGTTTCACCATCTTGGTCAGGCTGATCTCGAACTCCTGACCTCGTGATCTACCCGCCTTGGCCTCCCAAAATGCTGGGATTACAGGCATGAACCACCCCGCCCAGCTGCTGTCACCATTTTTTCAAAAGAAGGCATATATTTCAACATCAAAATGTAGGAAAGATAAAAATCTCAGAATAAATGAAGTTCTTTCCAAAAGTGTCCTTGTTGGTTATATTAGTCCATTTTCACACTGCTATAAAGAACTACCTGAGACTGGGTAGTTTATAAAGGAAAGAGGTTTAATTGACTCACAGTTCCACATGGCTGGGGAGGCCTCAGAAAACCTACAATCATGGTGGAAGGCAAAGGGGAAACAAGGCACATCTTACGTGGTGGCAGGAAAGACAGTGAGCAAGGTGGGAACCGCCAAATACTTTTAAACTATCAGATCTCATGAGAACTCACTCACCAGAACAGCATGGGGGAAACCATCCCCATGATCCAAGCACCTCCCATCAGGTCCCTCCCTCGACATGTGGGGATTACAATTTGAGATGAGACTTGGGTGGGGACACAGAGCTAACTGTATCACTGGTGATGTTGCTTTGATGTTTTCTGTCTGTACTAATGAAAATGTTGCCAAGGCTTGTCATGCACTAGGGAATAGGTGAGCAATATTCAAGGGTTTAGGTTCATATGCTTTGCCCCCATCCCTCATCTCCACTCACGTAACATTATTTTGTTTCTGGAATGGCTCCAGCTTTTGCTCTCTTTTTCTATTTTGGAGGCAGAGTCTCACTCTGTCGACCATACTGGAGTGCAGTGGCATGATCTTGGCTCGCTGCGATCTCTGCCTCCCGAGTTCAAGTGATTCTCCTGCCCCAGCCTCCTGAATAGGTGGGACTACAGACACGTGCCACCAAGCCTGGCTAATTTTTGTATTTTTAGTAGAGATGAGATTTCAACATGTTGGCCAGGCTGGCCTCAAACTCCTGGCCTCAGGTGATCCACCCACCATGGCCTCCCGAAGTGCTGGGATTGCAGTCATGAACCATCACACCCAGCTTCTCTTTTTTCATAATTATCTTTTTGCTCCATCAGTGTGAATTCAGTGATAGACTGCAAATTTTATTTTGCTCAAAGTATAATGCAGTATTCTGAAGGATTCCCAAAAGAGGCCCTTTAAGTTTCTGGAGAACATGGAAGAATAGGACAAATCATGATAAGGAGATTTTCATATCCTTGAACAGTGAATTAAAAGTTATATGAATCAGTTTTGGAGAATGAAATTCTAATGTGTGTCAAACAGAAATAAATATCATGCCTTTATTTTTGACTCTTTTATTATTGGTCACTTTTTGAAATAATATGGGGACACCTTTTTTGAAAATGAAAGGTAGAGAATGGTGGTTTAATCACAATATCTTTTATTCTTTTTTTGGTTTTATTTGTGAAAAATAGGCTGCACAGCAGGCATCTTCATCCTCACCCAGCCTTAGTGGAACATCATGCTCTTTCTCTTCCCTGGATACAGTGAAGACACCCAGCAGTTTTCCTTCCTCCTTATCTGAAGAGAGACAGTCCTGGCCTGACACAGTTAACAGTTTGTCTGCTGCTGAAGATGAGGGACAGCCAATAACGTTTGCTGTGCAGGTTCATTCACCTGTACCTCCAGAGACAGGCAGCCACAAGGCCCCAGAAAACAGCTTTGTCACATCAGAAAGTGGATTTTTGAACTCTTTATCTAGTGATGATACTTCATTGAGTAGCAATCACGACCATCTTACTGTCCAAGATAAGCCTGCTGGATCAAAGATCATGGACAAAGGTAAACCAAGAAATTGTTCATTCTTCTTTAGGGAATGAATATTTGTGTGTGTGTACAGAACTCTAATATTAATTTGTAACAAGAATGGTTAAACTCATGAATGATGTCAAGAATTAGTCAAGTGGGGTTATGCTCAGAGGTTGCTTTGTAGAGGAGTTGCACGTGGCAACTCCAGCTACTAGGCCGCTAATTACTTGCTGTAAGTGTCACTAACCAACTGCTTCAGAACTGTAAGACATGTGATCATAAAATAATGATACTTTTCCACTAACCGGAGAAAAAACTTGCTAAAAAACTCTTTTTTTAGTCCCATGTCTCATGCTCTGGAGCTTGTGGTGGTTAAATCAGGACTTTGTAGTCTGGTATTTTTCACGTCACCTTGATAGTTCAAAATGACCTGAGAGCAGCTGCCTTCCCTGGGCTGTGCTCCAGACAGTATCTAATTCTTAGCCCGCTGACTCCTGAATGTTCCTGTGTGGTTAATGGGCAGACAATTTGCCCGCACTTTGTGCAGCATTAGAACCTTTACATATAAAGGAGAACACAACTTATGTGTTTGAAAAACATTTTAAGTTTTAACAAAGGAAAGAGTTAATTGAGTGTGGAAGGCAATAATATGAGGTTTAAAAAATACTCTGATAACTGGTCCTTATCTTTTATTCAGGAATAACGTATTTTTATTTCTGTTCTATCATAATGCCTTTTCTGATTGTGTGCTATTATTCATTTTGCTGTAAAACAGGGTTACCTGATGGAAGATACTGAGCAGTGAAAGAATGATGAGTTTGGTTTGTGTATTTTTTGGTGTGCCATTGAGAGAAAGTTGACTTGCTAGATTCCCATAATAACCTGCCAGAGTGTCTAATAATGTAGATGACCGCTCTCCCCTCTCCTCTAGCCTAATCACGGACAACTTCTTTAAGTTCACAAATTTCAGATGGGTACCCTGTTAATTTAATTTTTGGTATCACAATAATTTGGCCAAGGATCACAACTTTAGACCAAGTTGTTGTGTGTGTGTGCATGTGCGTGTATCTGTATAGTGTTTTAAAAATATGTAAATTTGAATACTCAGCCTGGTAACTAATTCTCCAGGTTACAATAGCTATCGCCACTCTCTGAGGCCTTACCTAAAGAGGCTTTACACAGATCTGTCTGGCCTCTGATGGCATTTTTCTTTTTCTTTTTCTTTCTTTCTTTCTTTCTTTTTTTTTTTTTTTTTTTTTTTTTTTTTTTTTTTTTTGAGACAGAGCCTTGCTCTGTCAGCAGGCTAGAGTGCAGTGGCGTGATCTCAGCTCATTACAACCTCCACTTCCTGGGTTCAAGTGATTCTCCTGCCTCAGGCTCCCAAGTAGCTGGAACTACAGGCATGCACCACTATGCCCAGCTACTTTTTGTATTTTTAGTAGAGATAGGGTTTCACCATGTTGGCCAGGATAGTCTCAATCTCTTCACTTCATGATCTGTCCACCTCTGCCTCCCAAAGTGCTGGGATTACAGGTGTGAGCCACCGCACCCGGCCTTGATGGCATTTTTCTTATACCCTTCCCCACTATTTAGGCCAACTATCTATTTCATATTAGAAGAACTGGAGTGAGTAAAGTTATTGGCAAACCAACCTATTTCAAGAGGTGAATGAGTAGCATAGGGAGGAGAAAGGAAACATTGCCTCTGAGGAATGTAGAGGGCTAAAGACTGGACTGTGAGAATGCAAAGAGTAGTCTCAACTCCCCCTCAGGTTTGTGAGGTGCTGTCATGTGGACAAAGTATTGAGCTTAAATGCATCTCCTTGGAAGCACAAAATTGAGTTCAATGGTGCAAGTCAAAAGGAGGTAGATTTAACTTCAGCATAAGAACTTTGTTTTTGATGTTATGAGCTGTTCAAAATAGAATAGGTTCCTTGGAAAGTAATGCATTCCTTATCACTGGATGTGTTTACTCATTCTGAGACAACCATTTTCACTGACTATTGATTACATATTGCATGTTAATCACCACTTTTGTTCTTGAAAGCATGTACTGAAGAGAGAACTTAAGTATCTTGAACTAGATGACCTCTACCTTGATACTTGGAACAAACTTCCAGATATAGCATTGGTAGAACTAAAGAAAATAATAAAAAGTACTACATCTATTATTTTTCTCCTTCAAACTCTTACTTTAATCATTGGGTCATAAGTAGAACTTAAAAAAATTCACACACACACACACACACATACACACACACACACACACACACGGGATGAGCATAGCTTCAAAAATATACTAGAGAATAAGATTCCATTTGCATTCTTTCCCAAGAGATAACCCTGGAGGTTGATCGTTTTCCTTTAGGACCATAGCCAGAGAGTCATGGGAAGATGCACCAGTGCTTGTTCATGGCTAAATGCCATTCCAGGACTGCATGTGCTATAGAGCCTGGCTGGGAACCAACAGCCCTTTTAATGTAAGAATGAAGCAACTTGGTGCTCTTTAGTTTTGAGTTACACACAGAGTGACCAGCAAAATCTGTATACTTCTTCAAACAGCTCAGTGTGACGATATTCCTCTTGGTAAAAGGAAAAGAAAATGAAAGTATTTTTCTTTTCTCATTGATTTTTTGGCAGTTGCCATATGTTACAGAATTTTTGCTGATGATTTTCTCCTGCTGCTGGGGATTTGGTTAAATTCCCAGAAGAACTGAACCACTTAAAGTCATCTCTATGGAAACAGCGACCCAATCTTTGCTTGCATATTTGATGACTTGCTGTTGAGTAATCAAATTTCATTCTGTGCATTTTTTTTACATGTGTGTTTATGTGTAGACAAAGGTAGCTTTTCATTCTTGAGACTTTTAAAAAGTATTGTTGTGAGTTAGTATTAAAAATATTCCTGAAATTCCTTTGTCTGAAATATTGTTCAAGGTGTTTTTATGTCAGGGATAGAAGTCTTAATATGGTTCAAAATGAAAGTTAGGATTTTAAAAGATTAAGACCTGGTCTCAAGATGCATTTGCTGGAGGAAGAGGCTTTCATCCTAGAAAAGATTCTTAAAGATTAGTAACTGAGTCCTGAAACAAGCAGACAGTGCATATTATAGCCTTTCTTTTATTTAGACAATGAAAGAAATATTTTTGCAGTTGGTATGCAATTAAAATTGTTGTTGCTAGGATTTTATGCTGAATTTAAATATTCTGTTAGACATTTCCTCCTTTAGTGTAAGATATTAAAAAAATAAAATCAGGGTGCTAATTGCATTCTATTGCCTCTCTTCACTGAGAGTTCCAGGTTCCAGAGCTCTAGGAATTATTCATTGATTATTTTCATGAAGCATGATGGGAAGAGGTGAGAGGGTTAATGGCATGTTCATTTCAGCTTATTTTTACCCTGTGCTCCTCCTTTCTTTAGTTAGAATTTTTTTGAGCCATGACCTATGCCAGTGTGATAATAAGTCACACAGTGTGTCTTTCTAGAGATGTGTACAACACACACTACCTGCTGACAATGTGGAGACAATGTGACTTCTACTTAATGAATGGAGTAACCATACTCTGGATGCTGAAAAGCTTCATGTCAACTATTAAGACTAATACCCAATTTATACAAACAAATTATGAGGTACAAGCACAGCCAGAATTGATCTGGGAGTCATGTCAATAACAAGCTGAATTTAAAAAAAACAAAACCAACAAAAACAAAAAAAAAATGCCTTGTTAAAGAAGAGACAAGCGTTCTAGAGCATGCATGACATCTCAGGAAAGTGGCATGAATGAGCCAGATTTTAGGATTTAACAAATATTAACAAAATTGTACACAATCTGAGTGTGAACAGTACTTTAGCTAGCTACTTTGAGTTTTGCTGTTAGAATCATGTAGTATGCCTCCTCAGGAAGCGAGTCCCAAACTGGACTCTATTCAAATAATTTTGCATTTATTGTTATTATTTTTAGTACCTATTAAGTACTGATGTACTTTGTGCTAAAGTGAATAAAATGTGAACAAGGTGGGCCAGGTTCAGTGGCTCACACCTGTAATCCCAGCACTTTGGGAGGCTGAGACAGGCGGATCATGAGGTCAGGAGTTTGAGACCAGCCTGGCCAACATGGTGAAACCTTGTCTGTACTAAAAATTCAAAAATTAGCCAGGTGTGGTGGCACACACCTGTAAAACTAGCTACTCAGGAGACTGAGGCAGGATAATTGTTTGAACGTTTCAGTGAGCTGAGATCACGCCACTGTAATCAAGCCTGAGTCACAGAACAAGAATCCATCTCAAAAAAATAATAATAATAATAATGAACAAGATACAACTCTGGTCTAAAAAATTTTAACACCTAATGGGCTAAGTGGGAGAAACTAGACACATTTAACAAAAGAAAGCAGAATAAAACAGGTGCCACAGAAGAGGTACAGAGCACTTCAGAGGTTTAAAGAGAGCAGGGACCCAAGACAAAATCTCATCTAAGTGGCAGGATGTGTCCATGGAAAAGGGAGGCACAGGAAAAGGGGATGGGAAGGACGTTTTGTTGAGGTCGAATACTGGAATAGGTGTTTCTTAATTTCAACAGCTAGTAAATCAGGGTAACTTGCAAGTATGCTTTAGAAATATTATTTTAGCTATAGAGTACAGGGAAGAATAGAATAAGGGGAGACAGGGCATAGGAAGGTTTAGGTGAGGTGGTAGCTGAGACATGTGGCAGTGGAGATAGGACGGAAAGGGGAGAGGAGGGATTCTCAGCATGCCTATCAGGGTGAACACTGATTTTGGTCTTTGCATCCTTAACACTTAATTTTGTTCCTAGAATATTTCCTAGTAATCTTGTTTTGCGAAGTATGTATCATTTGATGTTAGGAAAACCTTGAATATGTGATCAATGTGATCATTGGTGTCAATGGCATTGATCTCAGGCATGGGCGACTCACCACCTGCTTTCTCTGATCCCGTGTCAGGTGGCTAAAGATCTCCGTGAGTTGTCATGAAGTTATGCTGATTAGGTTACCTGCAAATTTGTGTGACTTAACT